CAATCACAGTATGTACTCGCTGCCTCCATAACCTTAAACCCGGCTGTCATCACAATCACAGTACGTACTCGCTGCCTCCATAACCTTAACCCCAGCTGTCATCACTATCACGGTACGTACTCGCTGCCTCCATAACCTTAACCCCGGCTGTCATCACAATCACAGTACGTACTCGCTGCCTCCATAACCTTAAACCCGGCTGTCATCACAGTATGTACTCGCTGCCTCCATAACCTTAAACCCGGCTGTCATCACAATCACAGTACGTACTCGCTGCCTCCATAACCTTAAACCCGGCTGTCATCACAGTATGTACTCGCTGCCTCCATAACCTTAAACCCGACTGTCATCACATACTCGATTCAGTTCAGGATCAGTAGGAAATGTATGTATTTTTCCTCAATATGCTTTACAAACACAGCAATACTGCACTCCTCTTGGCACTTTGCTTGTAACTCTCTGCTGATCAGCCATCGTGCTTTCATTTGTGTTGCGTAACTAATACTAACACTAGCAATGTATGTACCTGAGACCTTTTTCTAATTTTTCGTCGAAAAAGATCAACAAGGGCAAAAACCCCCTGCTTTTTCAGACCGTTGCAGTGCCCTATAAACACTAGAGCCGCCTATATAGACTGTGATGCACCTCTATAAACACTAGAGCCGCCTATATAGACTGTGATGCACCTCTATAAACACTAGAGCCGCCAATATAGACTGTGATGCACCTCTATAAACACTAGAGCCGCCTATATAGACTGTGATGCACATCAAGAAAGTTCTTTAGATAAAGTTTGAAAGCTATAACCCATGGCTGAATATAAAAATTTTACTTCGGTGCAGATTCAGGCTCAACATGTTTGGTATTTGAACATTTTACTCGGGGGGCAGATTCAGGCTCAACATCTCTGGTACTTGAACATTTTACTTCAGTGCAGATTCAGACTCAACATCTCTGGTATTTGAACATTTTACTTGGTGCAGATTCAGGCTCAACATCTCTGGTATTTAAACATTTTACTCCGGGGGCAGATTCAGGCTCAACATTTTTGGTATTAGAACATTTTACTTCGGTGCAGATTCAGGTTCAACATCTCTGGTATTTGAACATTTTACTCCGGGGGCAGATTCAGGCTCAACATATTTGGTATTTGAACTTTTTACTCCGGGAGCAGATTCAGGCTCAACATTTTTGGTATTTGAACATTTTACTCCGGGGGCAGATTCAGACTCAATATCTCTCGTATTTGAACATTTTACCCCGGGTGCAGATTCAGGCTCAACATCTCTGGTATTTGAACATTTTACTCCGGGGGCAGATTCAGGCTCAACATCTCTGGTATTTGAACATTTTACTCCGGGGGCAGATTCAGGATTAACATCTTTGGTATTTGAATATTTTACTCCGGGGGCAGATTCAGGCTCAACATCTCTGGTATTTGAACATTTTACTCCGAGGGCAGATTCAGACTCAACATTTTTGGTATTTGAACATTTTACTTCGGTGCAGATTCAGGCTCAACATCTCTGGTATTTGAACATTTTACTCCGGGAGCAGATTCAGGCTCAACATCTTTGGTATTTGAACATTTTACTCCGAGAGCAGATTCAGACTCAACATTTTCGGTTTGTTGGTTGCATTGGATGCAGTGTCTGGATGAGGGATGGCGGTGTAAATCCATGCCAGACGTGTGATGACAGGTTGATAGTAATAAAAAGGTTCATGTCTCTGTCAATAATGTTATTCGCTCTGTACAATGAAATGCCAAGAGATAAACAGCATCACAGAGCTTTCATGAGTCTATAAGATCTTTAAAAAAATTCCAAGCCATAATCTTGCAAACCTGTCATTTGTTAAGTTACTCAAATTTAACTTGATCTCTTATGTCAACTATAATGCTATTCTTCAACTTTTCACCCCAAACCAGACCATTTGAATAAGCCCAGAGACCTCCTCTTGCGATCCTCCCCTCCTGCTGTCATAGTGAATCAAGATGGTGAAGAGATCAAGAATACGATAGGCTCACCAACCAGACCAAGTGCCCTCCCCTTCCCATCCAGCCCACTGGAGGAGAACCCGAGCCAAGAGGATGAAGATTTGATGGATCAGCTGCTGCAGGAGCCCACCCCCAACACGCCCCTTTACATCAAGCGAAAGTTTTACAAGATGGAAACGCTGTATGTTGATGACAATGAAGGTCAGTCGCAAAATAACTTTTCCCCGCCAACTCATTCAACACAGGGCAATCAGAAATTTTATTCATTGAAACCCCAGCTGTATGGGAACAACTCCAAATTTATCATATATTAGTTTAGAAAATTTTTAAAAAAATGTTTAGGAAATCTATTTTATAATAGATTTTAATCAAATAAATTGATTTGCATTCATAACTGGTCCATTTATGTGTCATTTTACATTAGTTCTCTCTTTTGTTGGGTAAATTCTTAAAGAACTATGACAAAGTACTTGATTACTCATGATCATGGTGCTACAAAAGTTAATCTCCTATCAAAATAATGAATACTCCTTGTCTGATCTATAATTAAAAATCTGGAAGTTATCCACCTTGGTCTCGTATCTTGTGAGGCTCTCATTTCAATGGTGAGATCTGTGCTAGCTACATATAACATGAAAACAGCGTGTTCGAGTGGCCTGATTTTGGGGTTTGAATGGGTAATTAGGCCATTGTTATACATGAAGTCATACGATTTTTATAACACTAACCTTAAAATAACGATATGGTACTTTATCTGACACACAGACTTACGTAACGGCAGTTGAAGCTTGAGCGCCACTGTTGAAGATCTTCTCTGCGATACCTCTTTGACCACCAGAGACCGCAGTGATGTCTCCTCCAGCATCAGCAACACTTCATTCTCCTCGTCGGGCTTCGAAGGGGACAGCACTCTCTGTAACTTGCTGTCTTCTCTCAACACCCTGAGGTCCTCGCTCCAGCTGAACAGCAGCCTTGACGACTGGCACCGATCAGATGACTGGCTGAGGAGCTCAGCCGACAATCTCTTACAGGAGGGCGGTGATTCCAGGAGGAGTTCAGTGGACGATCTTTTAGGGGGCGCCGATGAGTCCAGGAGGGGTTCAACGGTTTTACAGGGCGAGACTTTGAAAAAAGGTCAGTTCCTGTTGGCAATAAAAATAAATGCTTGTATCGAAAATAAATTCTATTGATTGTTGTATCAGTTTCACAAATCATCAAATTGATGAGTTACGACAATCACAATTTGAGAATTGATGGGTTAATACTGACTAAACACAAATTCCAGTTAAAAAACATTGCATAACTATGTTGAGACATTGTGAACAGCCTCTTGCTGTCCCCTTCGACACCACATGTCAGCTCAGTGCTATCTTTAAAATTAAATTCTGTTTTAACTGTTGTTTGTTCGCTGACGAACGCAGACACGCTCGTTGCTTTGTTGCGTCCTTTTTTCTTAGTTTTTCCCCACACTTTGTTTTGCTCATTTCATTTTTAATGAATTTCAGTGTCACAACTTCAGTAGTTATCTGATCTGGTTATGAACATGTTGTGATAAGCACGTTTCCCTTTAAGTTAAACACATGATTTTACAGTGCTGTGTTGCTGTTGATATTTTTAAACAACACTTGGGGGAGAAAAAAAAATCATTCCACTATTTATTGGTCTCTATCTTCCATCTCAACGTCCTTTAGGTCCTTGACCATGTTGGGGTGCAGCTGACCGATGCCATAGAACAAAAAGAAGAACTTTGCCAGAATATACTTAAAATACTCGTGTCCATCATGTGGAAAGGTATTGAGGGCTCCAGCAAGGAGATATGGAAGGTAGGTAACATTTCTGTCATTCAATTTGTTAGATTATCACCCCCCTCCACCCCTCCTCCCTCCCTGGAAGAGATGTACTTCAGTATGTGAGCTTAGAGAGTCCTTTAAAATAATGGACTTATTTGTATGTTTATCCTCCAGAATGGATGTCAGGTGCTTACCTGGGTATTTGAGCTTGGAGAGTTCTGTGAGTTAATGGCTTATTATTAACTGTTGATCCTCAGGAGAGATGTCAGGTGTTTACCTGGATAAATGAGCTCGGGGAGTCCCTTGAGGAGATCAAGAGACGTCTCCTCGAGATGATGCTGCACAACTGTATGACGGACATTCGAAGTTCTGGTGTCCAGACTCCACTGGCCCTCTCAGAAAATGTCATCAAACTCATCCGCCTGGTGCAGGCTTTGTCACCAAGCCTGATGCCCCCCCTGAGTCTTTCTCTAACAGAGTAAGTCCCCGTGAGCTCTTGAGTTTGTTTCAATAAATATGATAGTGAAGCGCTACTTTTTGCTTTTCTACAACATAATCACTTGAAAGGGACAGTGATGATTGGCAGCAGAGATAAAGTTAAACAGCAAGACAACTGATTCTCTTTTTTTATGTTTGTTATAAAAATAGACAAGAAATAATCGCGCATTTTCCTTCTTTAATATTTCACAAAGTGAATATGGATTCTGTACAATGTTTCAAAAGGCTTAAATGACCACCTTGATTATGTCACATATGGTGGCTGGGTGTCTTACTCAGAAAGACACTTTATCATTTAGACGACATCTTTAAAACTATTAAGAGGGAGCATGGTTAAAAGGACACTTGGACAAGTCTTCCTGCTTCAAACAGGTGGTGTGGGAGATGGAGGGGTGTGCATAACCCATTGTCCAGGATGGATATTCACTAGTAATTGTTTTATTTTGCGCAGTGTGTGTTGTAGGTTAGTTAAGTTAATGAACGCTTTTGGCACCTGATTAGGCTTGTGACATATTGTGAAGTGATTTTTATTTAGTTGTGACCAGTTCCTATAGAGTCCGTCATTGATGTACATGCTATTCATTAGGCAGTTGCGAGTCTGAACATCGAGGGAGAATGTTGTATGGTGTTTCAGTAGCAGATTGCACTCTGCGTGTTTGAATTATTGTACATCCACATGTTGGAGAAGCCTTGATTAAAGTTTACGTAGCTCTTGGAATAAGACTTGTGACCTGTTCATCAGATTACGACGAATGAAGGTGTGAGCAAACATGACGTGTGTAAGCCGATCACATCACCAATATTGTTCATATATGTATATATATACATATATATATATATATACATACATATATATATATATATATATATATATATATATATATATATATATATATAT